TATGTATGTATGTATGTATGTATGTATGTATGTATGTATGTATGTATTTTTTTCTCCTCAAGGGTGTGCTGCTCCTGCACTTGTGGCCTCGCGACCAGGCTCAGAACGGATCAGAAGTAGTCCACATTGATGGAGGTTTCTTCTCCGTCTACGTCTGCATGTCCAGGGCTGGTTGCTTCTCTGCTCGAGGGATCTTGCTGGCTGGGTGTCATGGCCTGCTCTGGCTGGTTTGCCAGGGATCCCTGAGTGTGCTGATCTAGCATGGTGGGAAAGTGAAGCCGCCTGGGTGTTGGCCCAGTATCCAGGACGTTGGGCTCTGGTGGCTCGTTTTGCTGCTGAGGCGGTAGCCTGGGCTTCTTAAAGGTGGACTGCTCTTCCTGCGGGGCATGTTGGCTCGTGTGACTGTGGCCACTTGCAGTGTCCTCTGGACTCTTGGGGGATGCTTGTGTTGTTTGCCGGCGGAAGATCTCTTCAAGCGACGGTGACCCACTGCTACCTGCACCTTTGCAGGGTTTTTTGAAGCAGTGGTGTGGATGACCCTTTGTTGGCCATCTAAATGCAGACTCAAGCCACATTGGGTGCAAGTGACTTTGTTGCCCTTCTGCCAGAGGACGTGACTGCTATGTCCTGTATGGGTGTCCGTGTAGGGCTGGTCGAAACAGTGTCCTTGGACGAAAGCCATTGGCGCCACACTTGACACAGCGGAGATAGCCAGTGGTTTCCTCAAACTCATGCTGCTGCTGCGGTGTTGCTGCCGCTTTCTGCTGTTGCAGAAGCTGCTTGATGACCTGTTGCCTGGTCTGTTTTTTGGGCAGCGGCTGCTGAGGGCGTTCAGGCGTTGCCAACTGGGCCTCAATGCTGAGCTGCTGACTTTCTGCATTGATGTGTTCTTCAAGGGCTTGGACCGTGAGGCCTTGATGCACTCGGACTCCACAGGCCCCACATTGGTAGCCGCTCCTGTGTGGCACCCACCGGTGTGAAGGTGCCTGCCATGGGTGTTTGCACTGTGCAATGAGCTGCTTCTTGTAATGCTTGGTGCGCTTGCCTTGGTTCCGGTTGTGCTTCTGGTGAATGTAATGATCTTTGCTGTTGAAGAGCGCTGCCAGCCTGTTGATTGCATGTGCATAGATGAGTTTGCGGTCCTCATCTAACACCTTTTGCCATTCTGTGCTTCGTCTATGCTGGAAGGTCTTGGCCCGTTCCCATGCTGCTAAGGCCGCATCACGTTGTCGTCTCCTGAGTTGCGGCTCACTGCCTGGGGCTTGGGGTGAGGTGGTGTTTCTGGCCACATAGAGCACTGTTACTCTCTGGTAGTCTTGGTGAGTGAGCTGCTCAAGCTGGTCCAGGAATGGGCCCCTGTGTTGTGGTTGTGTCCAGGCCTCCCAGACACTGACGAGTTGCACTATGACCCGCACTGGTGTAGATGTGTGCTTGGCCAATGCCACCAAACCCTCCATGAGTGCCCTCGCCTTGTTGTGAGGTGCGGGTGGCGTGCCCGTGATGGCGGCCAGTCGCTGCAAATGGGTGAAGGACATGGTGTGGGCACATAGGCCAAAGATCCAAAGTTGATCTCGCTGGTCATAGCTGGATGGAGTGGCATCAAGAGTGAAAGCCCACCCTTGATGGGGGTGTGGTGCCAATTGCTGTAGATCTTGCCACGCCCCATGGCCTTGGTATGGGTGCAGCATGTTTTTGGCTTCTTGTGGTTCTAGAGGAATCCAGCCAGCTGTCCACAAAGGGGTCTCATCATCTGACAAGATGCGCTCTGCCCACTCCGCTGGCATTGGCTTGTGCTTTTGGGTCTGGTGCCACTTGCAGAGCCACAAGATGTGTTTTGTGGTGGCCGGGACTTTGCAAATGGGGCACTCTCTGGCTTTTCCATCCTCTTTGTAGTGGAGTGCAGCTTGTGTCCATGTCCGGAGGTGGGGTTTGTGCTCTCCTGGGATGGACTTGAACACTTGGCGATAAACATGCCAGTCTATTCCAGCAACCAGGCGCTGATGATTGGGCTTGCTTGCCAGCCTGGCTATGCGTTGTGCTGTGGCTTCCTGCCTCAAGGCCCTCTCAAGTTTCCACCACGGGTCTCTGAGTGTAAGCTCCTGCTCAAGGAGGTAAGCACAGCCAGGTCTGTGCCATCGATGGATGTCTTGCACTTGCCAGTTCCACTCAAGGAGGTATGCAATGGTGGCTGCCATGGGCCCCCGCACAACATACCATGGATGTTGTTTGGCCTGGAGCTGTTGGTGAATCTCCATCCATGCTTGCTGCAGATGGGGAAGCTGGTCCTGTGGCCAGTTGTGATACAGGGTGTGCATGGCTTTGATGTGGTGCAAGATGACTTGATCTGCTGGGTCCATGTACTTATGGCCATGGAGGTCATACGTGCTGTCCAGGAGTCCCCCTGAGTGATGGCCCAGATGTGTGGCAAGAGCCTGCCTGAGGGCTGTGCGGTACCGGGGTGCCAGTCCTTGTGATTCAATGCCCCATAGTGCTACTGGCTGAATGCCTCCTTTATGTAGACGCAGGCGGACTTTGAGTGCTGGAATCTTCAGGGATCTCAACTTGACTCGCCGCTGTCTGGCTTTTTGGAACCTCTGTCTGAGTACTGGGATCCTTCTTCTCCGTGCTGCTTGGTGGTCCACTCCCAAGTCCCTCATCACAGTGGAGATTGGCGGCTCATGTTCTTGGAGTAGGCTTTGCAATGCCTTCTCAGTGCTGCGGTCTGTTGCAATGAAAGCTGTTTTCTTTGGATTCACTTTGAGGCCAAGCTCAGTGAGGCGCTTGTGTAGATTTCTGTATGCTTCAACAGCTTGTTGGGCAACTTGGACAGCCGTGGAG